AAAAAAATCAAATGAAAGCATCTCAAAATGTTAAATAAGAAAGAAAAAAGAAAAATAAGCTTTAAAGCTAAGGTTATTTCCCTTTACCTCCAGGAGCAGCCATGTGTCTTCAAGATCTGAGCATGAAAGCAGATGCAGAAGAACTTTTCTGAATGGCCCCAGGGCTTTTGGAAAAGTCAGCTTCCAGTTTTAGGAGAAGTTACAAGCAGAGCTATTTCTTTATCCAAATGAAAAGGTTGTGGTTTTTTAGCTCTTCTACTTTCCCTTTCAGCTTAAGCCTATGAAAGCTGGCATATAATTTTGGAGCTGGAGCCAAAGCAGTGATAGCTGCCTTGGGGTTTCTTCCTCTCTGTAGACATCCTTGGCACTTTACAGGAAGACTCAGAAAATTCTGACAATTGGAAGTCCCCAGAAGGGACAATTTTGAAAAGCCGGGTGCTGAGCATGACCCAGAAAGGGAAGGGAAAACCTCAGCAGGGCATCCTCTGCTGTTTTCATTAAGTTAATAAAAAGAGAAGACATTGCATATTTAGGCAGGACACCCATGATGTCTATTTTCTTGTTTGTCCCTGTACAGCCTCCTTTGTCTAGCCACATTTGTCTATTTTCAATGGGCAATCTGCTACCAGCTCACACCCAGGATCTCAAAGCACAGGACTTCTAGCCTGCAGTGGGACACAGCCCAAGCACCTTGTACCAGACACATTTCTACCTACGCCAGGCAGTTTAAAGCATTATTGAATCAAGCAAGCTCTACTGCGTTTCATGTTTTAATTCTGTTTAGTTCTTATGTGCACTTTTATCTCCTTCTGTGCTGGGTAATATGTGCTTGGGGAAATCAAATACGAGCAAGCTCTGGCTATCTCACAATCATGGGAGGTTGCAAAGGTCTGTAAGGAAGCCCAGAGGCAGCAGATATTGTTTACAAGAAATTATCTGAAGGAAGATCCCCTGGTGCCCCTTTATTGCCAATTAATTAATATCCTCTTCATTAACAATTATCATCGTTCCTGGAAGACTCGGTGAGCCACAGAGCAGAGACACAAGTGTATATTTACTTCTCACAGTCAAAGCTCATGATAAGCTCTCACTGATCACTCAGAAAATTATTTTTGTGGCTTTTGTTTAGTTTCGTGCAACCTTCTGATAACGTGGGGCTTACCTTCCTTCTTTCAGATCAGTTTTATGCCAGGGTAGTTCTGCTGAATTTTGTCTTCTTGCATTATGTCTTTTTCAAACCAATCAGACTGTTTAAGAACCTTATGTGGTTTAATATATCCTACTATTCTTGGTAGAAACTAATCTGTGTTCTTTTCTATATTAGAACATATAGAAGGTGTCTGTCCTTTTCTTTGAGTCAGACACACACTCTATACCCCTGAGTTTATATTTACACAGAAGCTAGTGTGTAATTTCAGAAGTAGCTTCTGAAGGGTAAAATCTATATCCTCAGGCTTTGTTTGGGCTATAAAGAACAGATTTTTATAATTTTACAAGGCAACCTGGGCTTTCCCGAACGTGTACAATGACCAGTTGGGTTTTGCTGTTAGTGTTAATCAGCAGAAAAGTGAGTAAAGGGAAGAAATCAAGCCATTCTGAGGTGGGGGGGAAAAAAAGCATTAGTAAAAGTGAAGAGCTCCATGGGGGCACTGAGACTTTTATTGGTAAGTCTGATCACAAGATATTTCCATGCCAGAGATGGTCAGCCAAGCTTTAATGAGTTCAGTGCACCCCATGTAAAGCCAACCAAGTGAGCAAGCTCCGCCGAGCAGTTGCAATAGCTCTGGCTCACAGCCCTGTCTGCAAAGAACAGGAGCCACGACACTGGGTAAGGGACTTGAAAAGATACCTGTCACAGTTTCAACAGAAAGGGGTTTGGTCCTGTAGCCTTGAATCACACCGTAAAGTGTGATGTTATAAGGTGTGTTGGCCTTGAGTCCTGTAACATTCAGAAAGCGCAGTCCACCTGGGACTGTGATATTCCGGGTTTCTTCGGGATTGTCAGACTCCTGCACCTGAATGATAAAGTTCTCATAGGCCCCGTCAGCTGCTGTCCAGGTGAGCTGGAAACCATCCCAGCCAGTCTCTGATACTGATAATTTTCCAAGCTCAGGTTCCTCCTCTGAATAAGGACAGAGAGTCAATCAGTTACTCAGATTACAGATCAGCGATGACGACATATTATTTAATGATGTTCCGTGTTAATGAATTTCACTTGTAATCAGTGACACAGAGATGCACCCACGCACACGCATTTACATTCTCAGCTGTCCCAGATAACTTGGAAAGTCTCTTCAGAGACATGGCAAGACAGAACAGTAAGAAAATTGCTGTAATAATAAATAATAACTACATCAATGCTAAAAGGCTGCTTGCAGAAAGCAGCTGATAGACCATTTTACAGCTGTGTGTTTTGCCAATGTTAATTATAACTCCCTCTGAGACAAGTAAGTATTATTATAACCACTTTAATGCACTATTAAAAAATCACTGTCTGTCACTATGAAGTCACTGTGAGTACTGCAATAATGCCTGGTGTAAGAGGAGGAAGACACTGAGCTTAGAGTAGTTGGGATTCAGATGTTTGTGCTTTTCATTGTACCCATATGAAGGATGCACTTTATTCTTCCAAACTATTTCTAATCCAAAATAATCAAGGGGAAAACTCCCCCATGTCTGCATGTCTTCAGTTTAATGGCTTTATCTTCCTTCTATTACATCATTCTGTCCAGAAAACCTTCCTGAGGGCAGACAAACTTGGGTTTTCAAAGTTACTGATATGAATCTAAAACTGAAATCTGCATGCACAGAAATCAACATTCTCAGAAGTCATCACAGGGGTGGCCTAGGAAGTTGGGAACCATCACAACTAACGCTCTGATGCTGGTAAATCTGAAAGTTTACATCATTTTCTCAGCAAGAATAGAAAATCCTCTATTACAGAGGAAATAAAACTAATTCCTTAAAATTAGCAGTCATATGGCAAAACCACAGAAAAATACCTGCTTTTTTCTACATGGAAAATCTTGCTACAGGATCTATCATTAGCCTGTGGGCTGCAGTCACTTTCTAGCACATTTCTTATTTATTTGCATTGTCGACACATAAGCATTATAATAAAATTATAATCTGATCAATCCCAATCTGCATGACTAATAATTTCTAAGAGACGATGCATGGAGAGACAACAAATGGATCTGATTTGTCAGTCGTAAACTTCATCTTTAAGCTTTTTGTATATTTTAAGGCAGAAGGTAAAGGGGCCTTGGAATAAATTAAAATTAGGCTCAGCAACATTAATCATAAATTTTCACCCTAGTAAAAATGAAGTGCTTATTGTTTGCTGCATAGCTTTCTATAGGTAGCTGGGGTTGTATTTTCAGAGGTTGAGCACTCATAGATCACAGTCAGTTATCTTCAGTGAGATTCACTAATGTATAGTAAATTGCTACTTCTCAGGAACATAAATGTTTTGATGAGATTTTCCCATCCTGTTAGAAAGAAGAGACTGTTTATGAAATAACACAACCTTGTTCAACAACAAAACCAACCAAACAATCAAACAAGAAAACCCTCACGAATCCAGAGCTGTTTTGCTTTATCAGGAACAGAAATGAGACTCTTTGAGGGAAAATACGAATCCTGTCAAAATAACACTGTGTAGCTGAAAAAGAGAAAGCAGGACTGAAAAGGAACTGGTTGTATCAGAAATGATGATCTTTTGGTGGCAACAGAAACAAATAAAACAAATGCATTGCCTTAAAATAAAACCAAACCAAAAGTTACAGAAAGTTTAAGTCTTTTAAAGTAAAAGCTTGATAAATAATGCAGTAATCATGACAGCTTATAAGCAATTCAGATTTCTCTGAAGTGTGCTCAATTTCATTCATCTCCAAGATGCAGAGTCCCTTTTCCTCCCCCTTGTTTCTCATGCATGTCTGAAATGGAAGTGCACACAACCCCATCATGCTCTTTAGGGACCAAGAGGTTCTCATACAAAATCATGCATCAACTTGGACTGTTGGAGACCTCCGAAATCCTCATCCATAAAGCATCCAACATATATGACAAAACAATGACAATATCATGACAAATGATATTAAGGGATGATGTTTCTTACTTAAAAAAAAAAGAGAACAAATCATTGAGAGATGAGACTGCTCTAGCCTTGTAGTAGGTGTGAAATAATCTCTGTGTTTCTATGTAAATATTTTATCACACGTTGTGAACTTGGTTTTGAGTGATGGACAGGTACAGTCATTAGTCTCCAGCTAGGTTCTCCAGATATAAACTTACATGTTGGTACTTTGATCATTATCGAACTAAGCCCTGTGGCTGTAGGCCTGTTTCCTCATGAAATTCATGTAACAGGGATAAGAGGTGGAAATTTTCAGAAAGTTATACTCCCAATGTGTTCTAATCTCTTTTTTCTCTGACATCACCACTTCCATGCTAATGCTGCAAATTGCAACCACCTTGCATTCCTTCTTGCGTTTGAGACACAATCCAGATAAATACCTGGAGCATCTTGCTATTTTCATGTGCCTTGTAAATAGCAGATGCATCAATGTCTCTCTTTGCATGCAGTTTGAAAAGAGAGAATTGATGCTACGTCACCTTAAAAGCTGCATGGGGCATTGTCCATGCTGCACCACTCAAGGTTCTCATTCCATAGCAATAGGAATTTTATCCCATGCAAAAAGAAGAAAGGAGAAAAAAAAAAGACTAAGAAGAAAGGCATCACTCACAAAGCCTAACATTTCTGCAGTGGAACAGCAGTACGAGAATGAAGTCCTGTATTTCAAAGTAGAAAAGGAACATATGGCTAATGAATCCATAGAAAATACCTGTAGCAGCTAGGGCTTCCAGGGACCAAGAGAGCTGACCTTGAATGCTTCCATGGAGGTTAATCTGGTATTGTGTGCCAGCTGTGAGATTGGTAATTTCTGTTTCTCGATGGTTTCCCAGCAAAAAGATTTCCTGTGTTCTGTTTAAACTGGACAGGTCTTTGAGAGTGATAAAGAACTGATCAAATACCTCATCCTGTGCTGCCCAAGACAGGGTGAAACTACCGAAAGTCCTGTGTGTTACATTAAGGTCATGAAGAACACCAGTTGCTTCTGAGATGGGAAGGTCAGTGGGCACCAAAAGCAGAGCATGAGAATCACTGCTGGGGTGTGTGAAATAACTTAGCTCTGTAGGTATAGGACTGGTAGGATTAAATGATGTTTCATTGTTTGATTCTCCAGGTGTTGTGACTAGATGTGCTAAACAGAGGTAAATAAGAAGTTAAAATTTCCTGCTAATAAACTCCTAAATATACCAAAAGACAGCAAACATCTGCTAGAAAACAGTTTGTGTGCTTTGCATCAAAGAGCTCTAAGAACAGAGGAAACAGATGGGGACTTCATTTTTGGAGACTGAATCCAGACCACAAGCAAAGATAACATCACCAAGCACAAGAGGGTTCTCACACAACCACACTAACTAGCAGATCCAGAATGACAACCATTAAACACAGAGATGAGCTGAAATGTTTCCAGCAGAGAAATGGGCACATCCTCCATTGATGTAAATCAGTACACTTTGATTACCTCCAAAGAACTTCGCTAATTTACATCGGTGAGGATTTGAACCCTAAGCCTCTCAAACATGCTTTTTATCAATTATTCCTTCTGATACAAACCATAAGTGGAAATGCATGCCAAATATAGCAAACATATCAAAATCCAGACTGAGAAATCAGCTACAGCAGAAGCATGCTAAATCTCATCCTATGCAATCAAAAACAGGCTCGGAGGAGTTATCAATCTGGATACATGCAGAATTTTAAAACAAGGCAGGGAGGGAGGTACATCCTTACCTAAAAACCAAGACAGAAAGAACTGGAGCAATCTTTCTTTAAAGAGGTCCAAAGGAACTGAAGAGAAAAAGACTTGGCCTTCAACATGCTGAATGATCTGTGAATGTATCTTGTAGTACAGTCAGATTCTGAAAATCTGAGATCACAGAGAATGTGCTTCTGATCACAGCTGCAAGGCAACAGGCAGGTGATTTTTCTGACATGCAGAATTATCTCCTCATTAGTGGAAAACCACATCATTTCACACCTCAGTGACTGCCTTGCTTTCATGCTCCACTTGCATTCAATTAAGAGAGAACTAGTCATCTACCACCATCAATCAGATCAGCACAAATAAGTACTGAGGATTCAGTATTTTTGAAAGACCAAGTAAAAATGTTTTCAAATAAATGCAGAAATGTTATCTTGAAAATGTACTCTCAGGACAAACACAGATGTAAGAACACAGTTTTCTGTCACCTCCAGGAAGGAGAGAAGCCTGTGAGGCAAACAGTTCTTTATATTTACATATATCATTGATATGCTTGACTTAGGTATGGACCCTCCTTAAATTACCCCAGCACATGGTCTGAATCAGGCCCTACATATGGTACAACCTGAAGACAGACATGTTCTCATCACACCAGCATACCTGCAATGGTAACCACTAGAGTAATTCCCTCTTTCTCAGTAAACAAACTACCAGAACTATCTGACTGCCCCAGGGTGACTGAGCTGATGTTAACACAGCAGGGAGACATGCAGGAACCATTAGACTTCTGCGACTCTCAGCTGCTTGTCCACAATTAGATGCCAACCAACCATCTCTTTCCTGTTCTAGGAACAGGCAAAAAAACCCTATGGCATCATGCAAGTGCACTGGTACTTGTTCAGCCTTAAGGTTATCTGTTTAACATGCATAGTGGTAGCTGGGCTTTACTGTGGAATATTTCTGCAGAAGACATGCATCGATAGAATCAACAGACCAGTGGAGAGGAAAGGGCAATAGGACATTCCACATGTACAGCCTCACGCTATGGCTGGACCCACCGGGAAACTGCCATGCACCCTGAATTGCAAACTGAGGACAAAACATCCAAAAATACAAGGGAAAAAAAAAAAAAAGCACCAAAACCAACAAGGCTGGCACTGCACTCCTGATATATTCAGGATCCCTGAGAAAACCCTGAGTAATATTAGTTAAAACTAGCTTCTCATTTTCCCTCATTTTACTTGACCCCTCCTACTGACATTTCTCCCAGATTCCTGCCAATTAAAGT